ATGGTAATTAAGTTGCGAATGTGCGCCACGCAGCGATACAAATCGTAAATAAATTTTCCTGATATTAATTAAAATACTGTACTTTACGAAATTTTGTCATTTCGACTATTACTGATAAAATCTCGTGTCTATAGTATAAAAGCATACTAAAAAATGTAATCTAACGTTCGTGCCTTGCTGTTCTTGCCCATAAATTTTCATTTCAAATTTTGGACTTTAGCAATCAAAGATGGAAATTAAAACTTTAAAACACCTTGAATAATATTAAAAAAACAATGTGCGTTATAAACACTTATACACAAAAACTATTGTTACTAAACTATATATTTTACATACATTCAAACACGTTTCCAAATAAACGTTTTAGCTAATTTCTTTATTTTTTAAAACAATCTTAAAAATTAAAATAAAATTGATATTAATCTTAGGCAACTTACCAAAGTTTTAAAATAAACTATTATAAAAATCATACAGAAACATAATAACTTTATTGATTATTTCAGTTATCAAGAAACACGTTCTCTGTAACGTGATTCGTTTCAATCTTTCATAACGTCATTCAATAAGAATTTCGATATTCACCAATCAGTAAACTTTCTTTCGATTTATACATTGCAAACCACTGGATTTTTAGTTTAAATGTTGCGAATTATCTGAAATTTTTTTACACACACTTGCAATACAGAAATTGTATTGTATTACAACCAGAAAAAAAATATAGTAACTGTTAGAACTGTTTCGCAACAATATAACACAGTAAACTATTTTTATACACACTTGTGTCGTCAGAAATACTTTTATATAAGAGCGTATTACTGTTTATTACGACAATAGGAATATTTTAAAGTTTATGCAATTGCTTGTTTTTGATATTCAAATATAAATAAATAAATATATATTGAATTAATGGCATTGTGTAGCTGTTTATACACAGTTTTACAATTTAGTATTTTGAAAAATAACCTTAATATTAATAATTTTTAAGAGATTTGAATAAAGGAGTATCTATCGAAAATTTTTAACCGTATTGTTATCGTTATTGTTTTTACTATTATTTAATGCTCTTTTACTATCAGTTTGTACATCGATTATTCAGCTTTGAAATTGGTAGATTACAATAATAAAAAATGGTGACAATTTTTTTTCTGTCATAACTCAGGATGTATTTTCTTCATAATTAAAGATTACAATATTTACAAAAGTTAAATTAAATTTTCGTGTCTATCTTTTAATCTCTTATACACCACCAAAGAAGTAAAAGTTTTAAATTGCTTTGAAGAAAACACTTCTTAAACAGGGTAAAAAAAATCGGTAGAAAACTCCACAATGTTTAAAGAGATCAAGTGCCAGCCTTTTCTTGTAGGTTCTGACATTTTACATTAAGAAACACAAAGAATTTTTCACACCATATTATTTATATCCACTTTTAAACTGCTTCTGGCCCTGTAGTGATAGTTACGAGATGCCTGCGTTTTTTTTATATACAGTGGTAAGTTTTGCTCGGTATACGACTTTTGTTCGGTATACGACTTAATTCAATTATACGCGCCATCTATGAACAAATAGCACTATCGGTATACTAGACCAGGCTAGACGTTCGCAGTGCCACAATTTATGACATTGTTAAATTTCTTCTGATTTAAATTTGTAAGTAACATTTTATTATTTTTATTAATCATGAATTGCAAAAAGGTAAGTGAAAAGAAACAGAAAACAAAAAAAAATGACTAGAATCACAATGGAACTGAAAAATGAGATTGTTGAGGAAATGTTTTGTAAAATTAAATAAATTGTAATAACTGAACAATACTTAACTAATACGAAAACGTTTTAAATTTGAGTAAAGTGTAGCCCCTCGTAATACAACTTTACTAACACAACTTTTTTTACAATTTCAGGTGCTAAGAGCAGTGTTGTTAGAATATAAGAATGAAAGAGAACTTCCAAGTACACAACTTGGACGTTTTTTAAAGTAAACTTCTCGGATTTTTAGCAGCATGTCGAACACGGTATACAAAACTTTATATCTCTGTAAAATAAAAATGATATTTTGCATATTATAAATAAAATACACTACTAATTTAAATATTTTAACGTAATTCTTGTTAATTAAATAAACACCAATTCAAACATGTTAATAACATTGTTGTTCAAATAACGATAAAATTATAACATTAGAAAGCAAATAATATGTACCTTTAAATTTAAAACTTACTCGTAAGTTCTAACTGAGCGCGATTCGCTGGCAAAAGCGAAAAACAGCTAACAGATGTCAGATATGACGTTTCCGGTGAATTTTATGATTTTGCGAACCGTTTAAAAGTATAACTGTCGAAATTTTTATCAAAGTTATTGAAACAATATAAATTAATTAAATCAAAAATCTTCTACTATGAGTAACGGTATTCTAATAAAATCGCACTTACTAAACCTTTATTATCCGGTACTTGTAAACTATTCGTAAAAAAAACATTTTCGGTTTCATTCAAGGCGTGCTTCAGGTTAAAATACTTGGATTCCATTTTTAGAATGAACGTTTAGTTTTAAAATATAATCGAATTCATGCGCGTGTTACGTATCGTCATCGTTTTGTTGTTCTTCGCATACGTAACGCCAAGCATAAGAAAGCGTGTTGCCGTCTTTAGTGTTTATACATTTCCCCTTCCTGCCGGCTTTGTAAATTTCCAGGGCTTCAAGGGCTCTGGTGTGGTCCGTATTAAAAGCTCTATTTATTAATTTGGCTTTTGATAGTTCTGCGTGAATATCCGAGTCGGTTGCGTAGGTGGATAGTGCAGTTGTGTAACGAGCATGTTTTATGTCAAATTTGTTCTTTTTAATTCTCTGTTGGATTGAACGCTTTGTGAGCCGATGTATACCATTTCTTGTTTAAATCGATCATCTTTTACAGGAATACTATATACTCCCGGAGCTCTAAGATCGTTCTGTTTGTCTTTTGCATTACGTAGTAATTGATATATATTGGGGGTTCTTCGGTACGCTACCCTGGTGTTCGTTTCAGTTGCAATTTCTCTATATAACGCTTGAAATTGTTTGCTGTATTCAACGATGTTGAGTCTTCTGTTTGAATCTTGATTAGCATTTTGAGTAATGGGTGCCTCTTGTGTTTCATGTGTTCGTAAATAGGCATTTGTCAGTCCTCGTATTAGTTCTTTTTTGTATCCATGTGCAACTGCAATGCGTTCTATATTTTGTAACTCAGTTATCGTGTCACTCTATTTAGAAGGGTGCGTAAATGCGCTTTTAACCAATGCTCGAAATTCTGCGATTTTATAATTGTACGGGTTCGCTGAGTTTGCCGGTATAAGCCATGAGATGTAGCTGGGTTTATTATATATACCCGTATCAATACTTCCACCGTCGAGCATGATGTTGATGTCCAGGAAGTGTGCATTGGTAGTAGTTAATGGATTTAGTTTAGTCAATTGATCTAGTTTAGAAGTCTAGCAACTTATGTGAGCTGGTATTACTTAGATTGGAAGAAACAGTCATACCAAAGTATAGTTCTAATATAATTATTTATAAGAGATATGTGGACGATGTCTTTATTCTGAGGAAAACGAAACCACACATCAATGAGTTTTAGAGCCACATGAACAAAAATCCATACAGGCTGACCCTGAAACTAGATCAACTAATATTTATACCGATTCCATTTGTTTTTAATAATTGAATTTATAATATTCAAAATTGTATTCAAATATGATTGTAAAAAATAATATTTTAAAAACTGGTTAATACCTATGTTGTCATTCATTGCCTTTAGGCTATTACACACTAACTAATCCAACACTCTCACTAATCTAGCTACAAATTGGCAGATTAACGAGACTGTACCGTCATACCCACCAAACCTTATTTTTATTATGTAATTTACATTAATTTTCATAACTGTCAACAATACAAATAAATTATTATATAAATATCTACTAGGACAATTATTATTATCAGGATTTACTGTAATGGTGTTGTTTCAGCAAATTGACAGCAACTTATTTATAAAAATAATCTTTATTGTTTGCCTCGTATTTCATTTTGAATTACCAGGTGATCATTTTTATGATGCCTCATAAAATAAAGAGTACATCCGAGTTGACAGACATCCACTTGTTTGCGATTGAAATCAACAGGGCAGAAATCAAATACCCTCATTACATAGAAGAATGCCGAACAATAAACGCATTGCCTGGTAAAGCGACTCTAATTTAATATTGACGTGCAAGCAAGCAACGGCGTACTCTGTTTTCATTCAAACGAGGTATCCTATCGGTTCGTTTAGGTTGGGTGGTTGGTTTATTGGTGTTTTTTTGGCGCAAAGACAACGTAGCTCAAGCTGCGTCATGGCTTGTTTAGCCAGCTGTATTTTGTCCTGTATCGGCTAGTTGGGCATGAGCTTCTAGGGTATATAGCTCCGTGGTAAAGTGTGACGTAATTTACATGTAATAATAGCAATATTCGTTTATGGTTATCGCTATGTAAAAAATAATGTTTTTCCAGGGGTCTTTTTAAGGGTAACTGACTTCTATTCAAGCAATATAAACGTCGAGTAAACCCGGAATACTCTACATTACCAGACTGTTTAGGCTAGGCGAGAACCAACGATCGAACGGTCGTGGGTTCGCACCTCATCCTGGTATTCAGGAAACAGGACCGATTTACTACTGGTGAGCAGCCAGCTGTATTAATTTCGCTGTACCACGCCAGGCGCGTAATTTATAGACTATAATTTTCATAACTTCGAAAAAAATTTTTTAACAACTTAATATGTAATATGGTAGTCGTTTATTTAAGTTAAACAATTTTAAATAATCTCAACAAAAAAAAATACAGTATTAAAGTTTATATTGAGTCAAGTTCAATAAAGTAACGAATTATGTAAATGCATAATAGGATTAAACAAGTTTTTTAAACACTAATATATTGATTTATTAATTTTTATACTAATGCCAAGTAAACATTGTTCTTTGTTAGCGTAAAATTCTAAATTTTAATCATTTATCGTAAACACTTCGAACATTTATGGTAATTAATTTAAACAGCAGTTAAACCGATACCTGTGAACAAGCTTGCAATCGTGCGTATTATAAAATAAAAGGCTTGTGAGTATAAAAATTACATTCATGTTTTACTTTTTTGTTATATATTGTCTACTAGAATCTTGTTTATTAATAGAACTTATTATATTAGTGTAGTTTTTTATTTCCAAAAAGCAGAGATCTTTCTGAAAAGCTTAAGGAAATCATTACTTTCACCAATGTTGTATAGAATTTTGACTAAAATCTTTATTATGCACGTCCTACTTCTTAATTAATGGCTAATTTGTTTCGATTTTGTATTCATTGCTATAATGAACCCTTGTTAGTTTAGATTATAGTTTAAGAATTATTGTTCAAAATTTACCCTCATAACTGAAATGTAGTTTTTCTTTATACAGAACCTCCAAGTATAGAAAATGAAAGATAAATCCGACCGTGGCAGACCTCATGTACTGAAAGATTGCGAGTGTAGATACTGCTCAAAAACTTTTCCACGTAAATCAAATTTGAAAAAGCACATGAAAAAACACTTGGATATAAGGCCTTTTCGATGTAGTGTATGCGTTAAAAGATTTAAATATAAAAAAAGTTTGGTTCATCATGAGAAATTGCATACAAGAGAAAAAAAGTTTCAGTGTGAATTTTGTACTCGATCTTTTAACAACATTGCAAACTTTAATAGACACAAAGCAGTTCACGAGTCTGGAGCATCTTTCTTTTACTGCGATACATGTCAAAGAAAATTTACGGATAAACACAAACATGAATTGCACAGGAAATCTTATCTGATAGAAGCACGTGACCGAAACAAACATGTAAAGAAAGAAGAAACACCAGCAGGACCTTCTTCAGCTCAAGTTGTGTTTAACTTCCATAATTACTGTCTTTCACCGACTCAAACTCCAAATAAGATAAAGAGAAAATCAAAAACTTCCAAAACTGGCAGTTTGGAGAAAAAAGTAAAACAAGTAAAATCTTCCTCAGCTCATATTCAGGAAGAAGTGATGATAGAAGCAGGACAATCTTCAGCTCATGTTCAGGAAGAAGCGACGATAGAAGCAGGACAATTTTCAGCTCATGTTCAGGAAGAAGTGACGATAGAAGCAGGACAATCTTCAGCTCATGTTCAGGAAGGTGACGATAGAAGCAGGCTCATGTTCAGGAAGAAGTGACGATAGAAGCAGGACCATCTTCACCTCATGTTCAGGAAGGAGAGATGAAGCAAGTGGAAAGTTTTTTACTTGAAAAACCGCTTAATTTCGATCCTTACCATCTTCCTTCTTCGAGTTCAACTCGTTAAACGAACTAAAGTTAAAGTGGAGAGAAATACAAGAAAACATTAAATATTTGCGTACAAATCCGCAAACGTCAATTTTATAAACAGTTTAGAATAATTGTAAAACTCTGTAAAACGAAAGCACCGATAAAAAAAACGATTGAAACATTTTATAATTTTTAAAAAATATTTAATATAATTTTAACTGATTTTATTGTGTATTTGTATCTTAAACAATTCTAGAATAAAACCAATTTTAAATAAAATGAAAACTAACTTCATTCATTTGATCAACTGAAGACATCCTTATATTAAGAATACAAGGCAGCATAAACATAGCGCGAGTTCAGAAATGCATTATGAGCAACAGAACTGGCCACAGAGATGTAATGACACAGCATGTCTTGGAGCAGTAGAATTTCCACAGGTAGTGGATATAAGCATCCACTGAAGTACAAATGGGACACTTAATCTTACCTGAAAATGAAAAAATTTCAACAAATAATAATCTTAAAAGTAATTGAGATGTATTTTAATATTCTGGAACATAGAACGCTTTGTGTGTGTAAAATTTCTTGTCTGTCTTTAAAAAGCCAAGAGATATGAAATAAATAATAAGAGTTTATTAATTAATTATCTCCAGCTTTACTTACTAAATTTCTGCAGACGATAATGATTGTTGATAACAGTCATTTTGCTCAAATTTGTACCAAAGATATAATTCGAATAATATAAATTGATGCAAGTACTTTAAAACATTATCTCTATCGACAATTTTGATCGAATTCGAGTCTCTTCCATCATTACAGTTACCCGAAGTCATCAGCTAACATTGGTGATTTTACAGCAGATGCAAGGATCACCTTTTTTTCTGGCTCTGTCTCAGTTAATAGTGATGTTTCTAGGTTAAATTTTAAATATTGGAGTATTATTTATACATACATAACCATTTTTAATTTACATAGAGCAATAGAAGAAGTTGATTGTTCGCATCATTCGTTGAGCTTCGATTCAATTGCTGGTAAGGGGTTTTAGTTGTGTTTAAGATATATAAATATAATTTTGAATTTTACTTGATATACAATAGTTCTAATTTCGTTTGAAATTTTTTATAAATTTAATAATGGTTTTATTTTTTTGGCAAATATTGCTTTTAAATAAACTTTTCTTATACTACATATTAACTGCTTTAAAAATGTATTCAAGTTAAGAGAAGTATTCGCGTTAATACAGACGCAATGTTTAGAAAATAATTTAATGTACTCGAATAACTAAACTAAAGACTAACTAGTTTATATAAAACTGACTGTATGCAAAGGTGTTTTCATGCATAGACAATGTAAGCATCTGCCCTTGGCCAGGTTTGACACAAACAACCTAGGACACGATAGTGTACAATAGAAGTTTCACAATCAGCATTAATTTACAGGCGCCTAGGGTTTTTTTAAACTAATGCTAATAAAAATTCGCACAGGGTGGGATAAACTTGTAGGCAGGCACTGTCTAGGGCAAATTTTTAAAATTACATTATAACATTCCTTTATTGTATTAAATGAATAAATATTGATATATCAATATAATAAAATCGTATAGAACGAGAATAATTTAACTACTTTGTATGTCTAAATCATAGTTTATAAAATGCACACAGCATAGGAAATAAATAAAAATTTTTCTCATTAATGGAAATATAACAAAACCATTACTTAATAATTGTATACTAACAGTTCTAATGAATTTTTTTCCGGGTAGTATCCAGGGCTGTGTTCAGTAACGCAGAATTCTTGCTGAGTCTAGTTATGCTGCAACGTTGAACTTGTTTTTAACTACTGCTTGACTCCTCCAACCACTAGCTACTTTTATCTATGATTAGCTTCGCCCACTAAGCCACTTAGAATTCTAACTTAGGTGTTAGAACACGGCCCAGTTAAAACAGTACATCTTTGCTTCGGCAGTTTCCCAGTTTTTCTTTACACTATATTTAATTGTCATTACATAGAACGGAAAAATGAATTTCCAATATAGAAATGGTTTTTTTCTTTACTTAATGTTTCAATTCTTAATGTATAAATGAAAAGATGTGACTGAAATACAAATAGATAGCATTATTTATTATTCAAAAACCTGCCTAATCACCTTCCGAAATTTCATCTTAAACAAGAATATACTTTATAGCCAAAATAATATTTTACAGTCTAAAAAATCAAAAAAATGAAGCTAAGATATAAAACTAAAGACTTTAAAATTGGAACACAGAGATACCGGTATATGCATTTACAGAAAAAATGCAAAATTCAGCTTTTTGCACTTTGTTACTGTACTTTTTTTAGAACTATTTTTCCCCTGAGGGCACTAAAAGAGAGCATCTTATAGCAAGTCCATTATTGGGTCTGTCAAGCTAACAATGGCACGGCCGGTAGTGAAAGACGTGGCCTGATATATTCAGACACACCACCTTGAAAAATTCTTCGTTAATTTTGATACATCCGGATTCAATTCCAGGTCCCCAGAGCGGTAGACTGCCACCTTGACTGCTCGTCCATCCGGCCGTAGATCGTAATATTACTTGCGCGAGTAATCAGGCAACATTTCTAATATTACTTCGTTAGCAAATACTTAATTTTTCTATATATATATTTTCTTAGGAATATAAATTTATGTAGCGTTTTGATATAAAATTAATGATCTACTTAAAAAATTTCAATAAAAACAAATATATTATTGCCCATTAAAACGAATTCTTATTAGTTTCATTTTCAACATGCATTAAAATTGACTTCACCAGACAACATGCCCGAAGAAATTATATGAATTGTTAAAAAGCTAAACACGCGTTAGACCTCATTTTTAGCATGTTGACGTTATACCGATATTATACGCTTTATTTCTTACATTTAATAAGTAGGATTTAAATAATCTCTAAACAAATCGGAGAGAAAATTGAGAACGTTTGGAAATTACATTTTGTCTGAAAACGTTCTTTCCAGGAAAAAAAAAGAAAGGTATGTTTTTTTAGTCTGTTTCAAGATATGGTGACTCTTGGAATTGATCGCGATTTCGCAGAGGAAAGAGTGAAATGAAAGAAAGCGATCTTGAAAGCGAGTAACAAAGCAGTGGTAACACCTGGCGATTTACAGCCGCGCAGGAACTGCAACCATGATGGCTGTTTTTGTTAACTTGTAATCCACTTTCGAAAAGCCGGCACGACTGCAACTGCGACTAGAAACAAAAAGTGTTCTACTCGCGCCCATAGAAAAAACGCGCATCTAATCAGCAAACGCCTTTGTATCACATCATAGTGTGGAAACATTCAAACTTCTTCATAATGGCGGAAAATAATGTCAATGACACTGGGTCTTGTCAATGACAAGATGTGCTCAACTCGAAGTTGTTGCAGTTGCCGTCGCCTGCGCGGCTAAAAATCGCTAAGTGTGACCACTGAGTAAAGTGTGTAAATAATGAGCTGAAAAAGAAACAGGATATGCCGTTTCCAATAAAAAAACAATATCACTAGTACCACTAGAATTAACGTCCATTTACCACGAAAAGTTACTAATTAACATGAGTACGTTCAATAACCTCGTCAAATTTTTAAAACAGTAAATTTGAAATATAAACAAATATTATTTAAATAACTTCAACAATAACAAAAAGAATTGCTTAACTTTGCTGCTAAATTTGATTTAGTAAACTAACGAATTATTTAAATAATTCAATACTTTTCGAAAAATTGCAAACAGTTATTAATTAATTTTTAATTGTAATAGATCATTATTAATTAACAAAAAATTTAAAGTTTTATTCATTTATAATGAAAAAAAATTAAATTACTGTACACTTATGGTAATTAAACAGCATTTAAACAAATACTTGCAAAGGTGAAACGAGAAGTTTGTTCCTCGAAAATAAAGAATTCGTTTGTAAGTATAAAAATTACTATTTAAAACTAGAACAATATTACTTATTTTTTATAGTATAAAATTATATCAATGGTTCCTAAACATTTCTTTCTATTTTCATCGAATCTCTTTTTATCGAAAACTTATTCGGTATAAAATGTATTTCTTGTTTATTAGTTACGTTTTAATGGTATTTTCATAATCGAAAGATATTAAGGAATGTTTTAATCAAGTAATAATTTAAAATCGGTGCTTGTTTGCAGCTAAATAAGCATATTTTAAACATTTACTGCAGCTTCTCACCTTGAATGAGTGCAGTAAAAATGACTGCTTATAATTTAAATATAAGAAAAACATTCACGACTTTGATACTTTATATTATTTGTCATTTATGACGAAAAGCGTTGAAAATTTCTTAATATTAATCATTGAGCATGTATTTGTATCGTTTATTTTATACAATGTTTGCTCGTTCATCTTCAGAACAATTTCAAGAAAATAAATAATCTGAAGAGGATAAACACCATTACTGAAGTAAATTAGTAGGTAAAATAAGAAGTATAGTTTTTATTTTTCAGATAGAATTAATACATTTAAAGCTTTATTAGTGTTTCGTACATAAATAAGAAGCTATTAGTTTTCAAATTAGACTTATTTCTCACTTACTCTGTCGTATTTCATAATGAAAAATAACAACTATTAAAGAATTTAATTAAGGATAGCTGTGGTATTCAACGTGTTGTTTATTTCATCTATAAATATGGAAGTTATGCTTTCATTTGTGTAGATGAAATAAACAACACTTCTATTATGAAAATAATCTTTTGTAAAATAGGTCACGTTTTTATGTACTTCGTACTATTTAACGACGACTTATTTTCGATTTTTTATTTAATTTCTCTACTCTATTTTTCTGAGCATATAGAGGGTATTACTGTCTAGGAACCATTGATGAAAAATTTACGTTTTTCAATGACATTCAGTTTATTGCTTTCTTCAGAGTACAGAAAAATGGAATTTCAATGTTTAATTTGCGAAATGACATTTTCTGAAGAAAGTTCATATATTCACCATCAACAAACTCATGCAGAAGACAGACACGAGTGTCAAAGGTGTGGACAGGAGTTTTTCCGTTTACAAGATTTACAACTACACGAGAGAACGGAACATGAAGCAAGACTTTTTGTTTGTGAAATATGCAATGCTACATTTGAACAAGAAGAAACTTTTGTAATTCACCAGGAACAGCACCAGATAGAGCAACATCATCTACAAATAGAACAAGACAAAAATAAGCATGCGAGTGAACAACCACATAGATGTTTGGATTGTAAACAAATGTTTGATAGTGAAGTAGAATTACAAAAGCACGGAGAAGAAAAACACGGATCTGAACCATTTCATTACCAATGCAGATACTGTAAGAAATTATTTGCCGATCGTGAAATGTATAAATCGCATTTTAGAGAACATTCCTCACGTTCAGTCCTGCAGGAGCTATTAATGCGTGAAGAGCCTTCTTTACCACAAAACTTTCCGGAATTGCAATCGAAACCAGGTTCTTCAGCACAAACCCTCCAGGAGCAAGCGATGCAAGCAAGTCCTTTAACACACATTGTGGAGACACCACGGATGCAAACAAGGCCATCCTCAATACAAACACTCCAAAAACGAAGAATGCATAGTGGACCTTCTTCAACACAAATTGTAAAAAAACCACGGGGGCAAACAGGACCGTCTTCAACACAAACCCTTCAGAAACCACCGATTCAAGCAACGCCTTCAGCACAAATTGAGCAGGCTCCACTGATGCAAGCAGGACCGTCCTCAGCACTAACCCTCCAAAAACCACAGATTCAAGCAACACCTTCCTCACAGATTGTGGAGGCACCATGGATGCAAGCAGGACCGTCCTCAACACTAACCCTCCAGAAACAAAGAACGCAAACTGGACCTTCTTCAACACAAACTTTCATAGAATCTCGAACACAAACAGAACCATCTTCAATGCAAACCGTTATAGAACCGAGGATGCAAGCAAAACCTCTTTTAACACAAACGCTGGACGAACCAAAAATAGAAGCAGAAGCATCATCCACACAATCCTTAGAAAAACTATCGATGCAAGTAGAACCTTCTTTAAGTGCACTTCTTCAGGAATTTTTGATGCAAGCAGGATATAATATTGCTACAATACTGCAGGAATTATTTATGGTAACAGGGTCCTCGTTAATTGCAATGCTGCAGGAACAATTAATGCAAACAAGTCCTTCTACAATAGAAACCTTGATAAAAGCAGGGATGCAAGCAGGACCTTCTACTCAAAACCTGCAGGGTAGGCAGATGCAAGAGGAATTTACAACACAAACTCTGCATAGTTTCCATGATTCAGCTCAAACTTCGAACAAAGAAAAAATTCAAGCAAGACCTTTCTCTACTGAAATTTCCGAGGAAACTATGATGCAAGTATCATCCTCAACTGAATTCTCACAGGTAATAGAACCGTTTACTGAAATTTTGCCCACTTTTCATGATTCTTCTTTATTTTCTTCAACACAAATGTCTGATAAAAAAGGGAAGCAATTTCCACCTGCTCAAATTCTTCCGGAGGACTGGATGCAAGCAGGACCTTCCTTTATTAATATTTCGGAAAAAGGTGTGATTCAAGAAGAATCTTTTTCAAGTGAGACTTCGGAAAAAGTATTGATGCATGCAGAGTCTTCAACAGAAACTGTTACCAGTTTCCATGATTCGTCTTCAACTGAAACGTCGAATAAAGAAGACATGCAAGCACGATCTTTTACGCAAACTCCGAGTGATGAACAGAAAAATGAAAATGAAAGTGTATAGCTTTTTTATTATGTTTAAGATTGAAAATAAAATTCGACTAAATCATCAATTGTGAAAATATATAAAATTAAGTTACTAGTCAATTTTGCTATACAGTGATTTACGATGTATTTTTTAAATACTAATTCGAATACTTTTACTGTAATTTTAATTGATTTTATTGTCTATTTGTATGTGAAATATCTCCATAACAATTAAATAAAGTCTATAGAATAAGAATGTATTGTTTATTGATTTGGTGAAAGAATGACATTTGCACGTGAAGACTACATGATAGCAATAACGTTTCCGAATAAAATAACGAAGACTAGAAACAGTAATATATTTTGAGACGCGTATGACTTGTGCTGAAACAAAAACTGGACTTTTGAGTTAAATGCTTTTATTCTGTAAAGAAGATTCATTTTACCTACACATATTTTGGCTGCGATGAGACAGAGGATAAATATAACGATAACACTATAAAGCTCTTTATATACTGTCAGTTATAATACAGTACACTCCCTATAAAACGAGTTCATATAATGCTGATGCATATATCACGGCTAAAAATTACGATAGTATTTGTATAAAGACGCTTAAAAAAACTCGTAAAATGCGGTAAAACGTCATCGCCGACACGTGTTGCACAGGACTGGTCGAATCTACACCAATAGCAGATATTAGTAGTATACGTATGACACATACAAATCACAAAATTAATTTATAAGTAAATTATTACAATTTATTTTAATCACAAAATTAAATTTGCTGTTTTTATAAGTAATTTTTCAAATAAGTTTTATTATCGCGAAGTAAGTGGTAATTTGAAATAATATAACATTGAAATTATTTTATTTAATTTTTTTATTTTTAAACATTAATACATGAAAATTTTTATATTTTATTTAAGTGTTTCCAGTTTTTTTTTCAATTTATCTATACCAATGTACATTTTTCCCATTAAATACAAAAATAAATTCTCACGATTGCGAATAATGTATTCTTTATCTAAATTTTGATATTTTAAAATGTAACACCAAGAAAGTTGACATTAGAATTCGTCAATAAATTGTTTGTCATATTTTTGATAACGAGAAACAAAATTCCAGTTTAGCAAATTATTTATTTGGCGTAAAGTTGGGGTTTTTAATTGTTGGTATTTAAATTTTTTATATGAAATTTATTTACAAAGAGGGTAATAAAATCAGACGAAAGAGGTTTGTATTCGGCGACTTTATTCCAAACAAGATAATCAGAAAAATTTACTAGGAATCGTTGATCTAATAGCTGATGTTGGCAAATTAAATCCCATTTTGCATATTTAATTTGTTGCATTATAAATACGATCGGAAAACTGTAATTTTTCATATGTATTCTCAATTTAAGTAATCTCCGAATTCCAAAATAAACGGCTGAGATGAATCGTGTCTTTTACTGATCGTATTCCAATGAACATAATTTTTAAATTGACCAATAGTTTGTTCTTCTAGGAGTGAAAACGAAAGAGTTTTACAGTTAATGGAATGATTGTGCTTTGTCTAAAAAGCAAAGATTTTTTTTATTTGACTATATTTTAAAATGAGTACATTATTTGAGTACAAAATAAGTACATATTATATGATTACATATTATTTGAGTACATTATAGTTGAGTAAATATAAAATAATAAAGTGCATTACAAAATGAGAATTGAGTAAAATAGTAATTGAGTACATTACAAAATAATATTTGAGTACAAAATTATTTTTTGAGAAAAGCTAATTTTTGTCAGTCTCCAAAATCTTTTATTTCAGATAAAGTAATTTCGTTACAATTTACTTTTTGAGATTACGTAATTTCATCGCAGTCAAAATCTTCTTCTTTTTCAAAAAGGAGTATGTCGTCACATTCCCCAACATCTTAATTTTGAGAAATTTGGTAACATTCTCCGAAGCCTTTTTCATTTCTGTCAGTGATGTCTAATGAATCTGTTTTTTCTATAAAAGTTAGATGCAATATTTGTTCGATAATTATTTGGGCAAAGGCCAATCCAGATTCATAGATAATAAATTCTGATCCAAAATTATACATTAGGACCCCGATGTTTCCAGGATGGTAGCAATCAATAACTTGTGCATTGATCATATTATTTCATGATAAAGAAGATATTGGAGCTATTTTAGCATAGCAGTTATTTCGCATTTTTATGTCCAGATCTGTAAATATCGCTTATTGTTTATTGGGCTTAATTTCAAAGCCTTTAACACAAAATATATCATATCTAGCTACTCCGGTAAAAGCCTTTTTTAAAATTTTTACATTTTCAAATAACTTTTCAAAATAAACAAATTTTAGAAAGTAAAATATTTAATTATTATTACATTTCGTAAAATCAAATTTTATAAAATATTTATTAAATATCGCTAACATTATTTTATTTTTTACCACGAAAAATTTACATTCATATAATTTATTATTTGGCAATTTTAATAATGCTACCACATTTTACATTTGTTTTAAACACGAGTAAGTTTTACTACAAATGCTATGTATTACATAAGTAGTTTCTCTTTTGTATACTATAAAAAACCCGTATTGTGATGATGATAATGGATAGTAATATGATACATACTAATCACAAAATTAATTTATATACATAATTTTAAAAATTACTTATATTTCACAATTACTTGTATAAGAAATGTGATTGGACAGTTGTTTCATATAGATTAAATTTTAACCTTTACATTACCGTTCGTTCCGCCCCTCTGTTTACGTTCATTTTGTAAAATGGCCAAAGGCAGTATAGGTCAAACAAGGTCAGACAAATTATATTATTTTAAAAATTAACCAAAAATCAATTTATCGTTATATTCATATGACAAAAATTACGTTACATTAACTAATATCTGTAGTTATAAATACGATATTTTTAAGTACATTTAAATATAAACTTCAACAAAAAAAATTAAAATATATCAGACCTGACATCTATCCGTGAAAATTTGCAACATTTTTTAATATTCACATACTCCAGTTAAGTAGTTTGTACTTGGCACTAAGCCAGAAAGACTTGAAATATTGTTCTGTACAATTCTATATAACATTTATGAATGCACGATTTTTAGTTATAAAATTATCACAGATTATAATATATCCTTTGTTTGGAATCTAACCTTTATTTTGCTATCGACGAATATTACGTACTAATATTCTTTATTCATTTTATTTTGAACAATAATATAAATTATTGTGATGAATATATAAACCAGTAGTAATACATTTACGATGTGCTAATATTTTTAATTAAATTAAAAAATAAAAAATATAAAAATATAAAAAATATTAAAATTGAAGGTCACAATTTAAATATTTATTATACATTTACTTATTATAACTGAATAAACTTAATATAGCGTTAACATTTCAGCTTAGTTTATGTATCCAACTCTCTTCAGTTTTGTTAAAAATACAAAACAAAGTAAGGTTTACGATATTGATAAATACGACGTAAAAAACAATAACATAAAAACTTAATTGTCATATAATAGTATATCTTAAAATTGTGTTACTGTATTTTTATCACATATGTGTATGACCATTCTCTATAATATAGAAAATGTATGAAACATTGCTATTTAAAACGTCATTTATATAACAAATTAATACAGATTGTTCATTTCAGAGTATCTAAAACACTTACATTTCCAGTTAATATGTATTATTTTCGAGGAAAAACATAACGGAATAAAACTGACTACTGGTGTTATATGGTGTTCACGAAGTAACAATATACCGAAAAGTAATGTTATCTAATTCATTCCTAACATTCTTTCCAACTGAATGTGCTATTTAACAACGTTTAACGCGTGGAGGCGCTCTCTATTAGTTTCTGCTATTTGGGATCTATTGACATGCCTTTTGAAATACTAATTATCTTTAAGGTGTTTTTTTACTTCTATGTTTTCTTTAAATTTTTTTTTTATATGGGACTTTGTCTAAATGTTGCACTCATTTTGTTTTTATTTATTTTACAATTATTGCCAGTTATATGGTTGTAACAGCAGGAAGTGTTATGATTCAGCGGATGGCAGCTTCATATTCTTTAATTATTGTTCCTAGTAGATTGTAAACTATAGAAACATTTTACAAACTTGTAGGCAACTTTTATAATTCAATAAGTTACATCGGCGAAACTGGCCGGTTACTAAAAGCAGTAACTGAAGAAAATTAAATTTCTTTAATGAAAAATTCGATAATATCAATTCGCTCCAAAAATTAATCGAAAAAAGTTAGAATAGAAAATCTATTAAAACTAACGTTAATTATCTCCAAACATACCAAACTTTTAAGTAAAAAGACTCGAATTGTTCGAAATTCTCTAATGTAGAAAATGAATTTGGACGTTTTATTTTAATTTTCCTGTAAAACATTGAGTTACGATTATTATAAATATCTGGCAATTCAAATAAATTACTCTAAATTCGCATTTTCCTTGTAGAATAAGATATCAGTTTTTGTTTACGATAAACTTTTAATGTAGAATTTTCCTTAGTTGTCTATTTTCGAATTTTAAATCATTAATGACGATAATGTTTAATTTTGAATTCAATGTGAATGACTATTTTCATTTTTAACGACGTTGAATATTATAAAATTAAGGTTGCTTGTTGTTCTCTATTATATGTGTTTGGTTAGCACAATGTTGCTGTTGAGAACGTATTTAAGAGAACGTATTGAGAACGGGGCATTAAGCCCGAAATGCATATCCGTCCAAGTCAATAAAGCAACCCTTTTTCCTCTTAAAGTGTTCCTGTATGATACGTTCTCAACAGCAACATTGTGCTAACCAAACACATATAATAGAGAACAACAAGCAACCTTGATTCAAGAATACTATATCCTGCCAAGATCCAGCGAACACCAAAAAGATGGAAGAAGAACTGAACAAACTACTAACAGAT